ATAATCTAATGCAGTTTTTCTGACTAATTAGTATATAAAAATAAATACTGTCACACATGTGGTTTAGATTAAACTACTGTTCTTGAGCAACCACTATAGAGAAAGCTCCTTGCTGGATTTAAGCAACTAGATTGACCTGCCAATAAGCAACTTTGGAGTGATGTTATTAATACAACTACATATTCTTAGCATTTGGAGCAAGTATTCAAATGAGTAGTTTGTGGTCCTTATGCCTTTATTCTCATGAACTTTGTCCATTTTTTAGCAAGCCAAGATAGAGTAACTTCTTGAACAAAGAGAAGTAGTTACTATGCAAAGAGAACATACTAATTGTTCTCTTGGTCTTTTTTGTGAACCTGTTTTGGCCCAGTTTATTCAGGCAGAATCATGATCTGAGCTGGTGACCCGGGGCCTCTGTTCATTTTATGTCCATGGGCTATGGAAACATGAGGTCCATGTGCGTCTGTGCCGCATGCCCTCTGGTGACCTCCCTGGGCACAAGAATCTCATCTCTGCTTCTTTACACCTCCACCTATATGTATCTGGCGACAGTTGGTACTAAAACCAAAGTTTGATGAGTGAGGAAAACTACAGTATGTCTTTATCCTCTTTTCTGGAATAGGCACTCTCTTCTCATCTCTCAAGGATTTTACCTGTTAACATTTTCTTTGCCTAGTTCATGGTAATCTGAAGACCTGACACTGTTCTTAGGATAATTTTTTGATTTGTGACTTACCATTGTAAATCTGAACAAAACCTTTTTTTTTTTTTTTTTTTTTTTGCCATTTTAGCCTACATCTGTTGATCTTAGTAACAATGAAGCATCCTCTAGCAATGGCTTCTTGGGAACAAGCAGGATTTCAACGAACGGTAAGTGCAACTCAGTCTGTTCATTTAGTCCCATTCTACCTGAATGGAGCAAGAGGAGCCCTGCCAAGCCTTACAGCAGTAGGTCCACCTCTTGCATATCCCGATTTCCTTTCCTTGAAGGATACCCTTTGTCATGTGCCTTTGGGACTCTAACATAGAAGCACATGCTGAATTTCCTGACACAGTTTGGTAGATGGGACTCCACAGATATTAGGAAGCCAGTTTCTGTTTCTTCCTATTCACTGAAGAATTTTGAAAAAATACTTTAAAAATCTTTATGGTGTTATATAGTAATACCATTTGATCCAGCAACCCCACTGCTGGATTTCTACCCAAAGGAAAATAAATCATTATATTCAAAATTTATCTGCACTTGTATGTTTATTGCAGCACTATTCATAATAGCAAAGATACAAAATCAACTTAAGCATTAGATAAAGAAAATGTGGTTTACATATATAAGAGAATACTACTCAGCCATAAAAAGAATGAAAGCATGTCTTGCAGCAACATGGATGGAATTGGAGGCCATTATCTCTTTTTTTTTTTTTGAATTGGAGTTTCGCTCTTGTTGCCCAGGCTGGAGTGCAATGGCGCAATCTCGGCTCACTGCACCCCCCACCTCCTGGATTCAAGTGATTCCCCTGCCTCAGCCTCCTGAGTAGCTGGGATTACAGGCATATGCCACCACGCCTGGCTAATTTTGTATTTTTAGTAAAGACGGGGTTTCTCCATGTTGGTCAGGCTGGCCTTGAACTCCCTACCTCAGGCAATCTGCACACTTCGGCTTCCCAAAGTGCTGGGATTACAGGTATGAGCCACTGCCCCTGGGCGGCGGCCATTATCTTAACTGAAATAACTCAGAAACAGAAAGTCAAATACTGCATGTTGTTACTTATCAGTGGAAGCTTAATAATGTGTACACATGGACATAGAGTGTGGAATAATAGACATTGGAGGCTTGGAAGGTTGGGAGGGTGGGAGGGGAGTGAGAAATCACTTAATGGCTGCAACGTACATTATTCAGATGATGGTTACACTAAAAGCCCAGACTTCACACTATGCAATATATCCATGTAACAAAACTATGCTCTTATGCCTTAAATGTATATGAATTTTTAAAAAGGCAAAAAAAATCTGAATGGTGTATAAATGCCAATGCCGTTGCTTGGAAGGATGGTAGAAACCTGGTATGCATGTAGCCACTGCTCTCTTTCTTCCCCTCCTGTGGTAAACATCACCATTCAATGGTAGCTCTCCTCACTGCAAAGCCAGATTTGGTCTCAGGATACTTGTCAACATGCAACGCAAAGTCACCACAATCACACACTGGGAGTTGGCATGCCCCATGTGTTAGTCTGCTAGGGCTGCCCTGACAAAGTAGTACCAACTAGGTGGCTTAATTAGCAGAAATTTATTTGCTCACAAATCTGGATGCTTAAAGTCTGAGATCAGGTGGGACAGGGCTGGTTTCTTCTGAGGACCCTCTTCTTGGTTTATACATAGCCGACTTCTCCTTGTGTTCACATGATCTTTCCTTTGCATTTCTATGTCCTAATTCCTCTTCTTATGACGTCAGTCATACTGGATTAGGAACCACCATAATGACCTCACTTTAACGTAATCACCTGTTTAAAGACCCTGTCTCCAAATATGGTCACATTCTGAGGCACTGGGGCTTAAGGCCCATGACCCTGAATAAAACCAGTTAGTCAGGCCGGGCGTGGTGGCTCAGGCCTGTAATCCCAGCACTTTGAGAGGCCAAGGCCAAGGCGGGCGGATCACCTGAGGTCAGGAGTTCAAGACCAGCCTGGCTAACAAGGTGAAACCCCGTTTCTACTTTTCTACTAAAAATACAAAAAATTTGCTGGGTGTGGTGGCACACACCTGTAATCCCAGCTGCTCAGGAGGTTGAGGGAGGAGAATCACTTGAACCTGGGAGGTGGAGGTTGCAGTGAGCCGAGATCGCACTGTTGCACTCCAGCTTGGGCAACAAGAGCGAAATTCCAATTCCATCTCAAAAAAAAGAAAAGAAAAGAAAAGGAAAAAAAAAAAACCAGTTAGCCATCTCTCTTGTTCTGACCACAATGTTTTTTATTTTCCCAAGCGACTGATTTCTAATATGGAAGCTCTAAGCATTAGGTTCTCCCAGGCTGTGAGGGTCTAGTCCCCCCACTCATCTCATGTCTGACTCTGCTGTTCCTCGCTGGGAATTTTCCAGTCCCATGTATGTACCCCTGTGATCCAAACACACAAATGAATGTGCAGCCTGTGAGCACAGCAGCCCTGCTCTGACAGGCCCAGTGCCTGCCATTATTTTCAAACATTATTCCATCCTTGTGAATGTTTTTTCACATCCGCCACACATTGTTATGAACGGTGAATGATGAAAATCCTTCATCCTTGGAGGGAAAATTGGAGTTTTCTTTCTTTATTTTAAAATATATATAACATAAAATTTACCATTTTAATTACTTTTAAATGTGCCAGTCTTGGGAGATGAACTTCATTTATATTGTCGTGCAATCATCACCACCATCCAACTTTAGATCTTTTTTCACCTTGCAAAACTGAAACTCTGTACTCATTAAATAATAACTCCCATTCCCCGCTCCCTCCAGCTCCTGGTAACTGCCATACTATAGTAGCTTGAATCTTCAGAAACCACCTAACATCTTTTGAAACCAAGAGCAGTGGCTTATATGGACAATTTAGTGAGGGTAATAGAATTAAGGATTAAATACATTTTGTGATTTTCCTGGGAAACTTAGACTCCACTGAGCAGGGGCTGGACAGCATTTGAGCCGGTGGTAGTCTCATGTAGGGTGGTTTCACACAGTGACTACGTCAAAGGCAGTGGTCATGTAGAGTTCTAGAAATTCATATTACTTTGCAGTAACATTTTGTATTTTTATAAAGTTATTTTCAACATGCCAGAAAGTCAGCATCTCCCATACTAATTTAAACAGAAAATACTCATTTGGAAACAGATTTTAATTTCATATTTTCTAGAAGCTACGAGTAAGTGATATGCCCTGAGGTGAAACACTGGCTTTTATTCTTATGGGGAATGACCTAGAATAAAAACTGATGGCAATGTTCCAGGCAGTTTCTCTTCTTTTCATTGGGAAATGTCAGAGATTCAGCTTCTTTCTGGGCAGAAGTTGCTGAGGACAGAAGTTAGTCGGGAACCCTTCAGGGAGTTACACAAGAGCTAAGGGCAGGAGAGCTGCCCTCCATAAATAGGTATGGAGAAGGGAATGGGGAGGGAGGGTTTTCTCCTTAGCCAAGAAGAGAAAGTCTACAATATTACAAGAGCAAAAACTAAGTCAAGATCTGTTTTTGTTTTCGTGAGACAGGGTCTTGCCCTGTCGCCCAGGCTGGAGTGCGGGAGTGACCATGGCTCACTGCTACCCCCACCTTCTGGAGTTGGGTTAAGTGATCCTCCCACCTCAGCCCAGGCACATGTCACCACGCCCAGCTGATTTTTTGTGTTTTTGGTAGAGACAGGGTTTCAACACGTTGCCCAGGCTGGTCTCTAACTCCAGAGCTCAAGCGATCCACCCGCCATGACCTCCTAAAGTGCCGGGACTACAGGCATGAGTCACCACATCTGGCCAAGATCTGTTATTTTTAACAAAACATTCTGTGTTTTCTTCACAATTTTCCATTTTTAGGCTGAAGACTTCTGTATAGTCATGAATGGTTTCAGCAGTACGGGCAAGCCGTATCCAAAACCACAAGTTTGGATTGCAATGCATTTTTGACATAGTAGTTGTAAACAGTAGCACTAGAATGAAATATGAGCTGTTACCACATTCTCTTCATGTTTTAGATAAATATGGGATATCTTCTGGTGATGCTGGAAGTACCTCCATGGAAAGAGGTGTGAAAAACAAACAGGACTTTATGGATTTGAGTATTTGTACCAGAGAAAAATTGGCACATGTGAGAGATTGTAAAACAGGTACCCAGTTTTATGTTACTTACTTGTTTAATGTTACCAAATCTTGCTTAAGGAATTCCAAATTCTAGGTCTAAAATAAATAAGTTTGTATGTTTGCTTAACAGATATTTACTGAACATCTTCTATGTCCAAGGCGCTGTTAGACGCTTTAGTTTTTCTAGCCTTAATTTTTTCTTTTATTAATAGAAATAATATCTTCCCCAAAATGACATCTCACTTTTGGAAAAGATTTTCTTCATATACTGGGGTGGGAGTTAAAAAGATGTTTCTTTTCTTTCCCAACATGGGAAGTAATAACCTTTCTGGACTTCAGCTGTAAAAAGAAAGACAACCTATTTGGGGGATTCTTTACCCAGATTCCAGGCTCAACCATAAAATTGCATGCAAATTGTCAGTATATGTCTTTTCTGGGAAGTAGGTCTGTTGTTTTCATTAGATTCTCAAAAGGCTTTGTGGCCCCCTCACGAAAGTTAAAAATCACTGATGCGGATCAGTGTTTTCCAAACTTTTTAAACCAAAATAAGAAATACATTATTATCCAGCATACACACACTGTCTCCACACAATTGAAGCAAAAGTTTCATGAAACAGTGCATCTCTTCCATTCTGTTTTATTCCGGTCTTTTCATTAAACATGCGATTCACCTCACCTGATTTCATAACTGCAGCGCTAATGGGACCCAGCTGCCGTTTGAAAACTATCATGTATAGATGATCTTGAAGGGTCTTTCCGGCTCTGATAGTCTAGGTTGACGACTCTTTATATGAGCAGCTAAAATATGTTGCTTTGCCATTTCCTCAGGATCTGGGAGAACAAAAGAGATCTGTTATTTAGCTAAAATAGCACAGAGGTTTCTTGCTCCTGCCAGATATATACCCCAGGTTGAAGCTGAGGAAATACTGAAGCACAGCTGATACCTTGTATTCCTCACCACTTTGGGGTCTCTGGGTTGCTTTCCTCCATGAGAAAAGCAAAATAGCACTTATTCTATATCATTCTTTTCTTTTCTTTCTTTTTTGAGAGCATCTCACTCTGTTGCCCAGGCTGGAGTGTAATGGTGAGATCTTGGTTCACTGCAGCCTCTGCCTTCCAGGTTCAAGCCATTCTTGTGCCTCCGCCTCCCGAGTAGCTGGACTTACAGGTGTGGGCCACCATGCCCAGTTAATTTTTGTATTTTTTGTAGAGACAGGGTCTTGCCAGGTTGGCCAGGCTGGTCTCGAACTCGTGGCCTCCAGCTATCCACCCGCCTCAGCCTCCCAAAGTGCTGGGATTCCAGGTGTGAGCCAGCATGCCCAGCCCCTATATCGTTCTTTTCTGTAAGACCAAAACTGGATGATTCTCTGTAAGGGGAAGTGAGAAGAACCTTCTTCGTGCCCTCCTGGATTCTGCTCTGGGGGGAACTTACACCATCCTGAGCTAACTGACTGTGTCGTGGCCATCTCTGATTTTGTCCTATAGACTTTTAAGATGTGAATGAAAATGTCTGTAGGGGGCTGGAAGTCCCAGAAGCACACATGGCCTCCATGTGTCTGCAGAAAACAGAAGCCCAGAAGCCCTGTCTGTTTTCACGTCGGAAAAATGACAGTTCCTTCCTCTCTCCCCAGCCTTCCCCTTAATCTCTGAGGGTCTTCTCTGAGATGATTTGGTCTAAGCACTGATAGAACTTTTTCAGAATTTTCAGAAATATGATTAACTTTTGATTATCTGGATTTCCCAGAGGTTGGGGGTTGTATATTCATAGTAAGAACCAGACTGTTTCTTTATAATACGAGAGCCGTATGATTTCAGAGCAGCATCAGAAAAAATTACTTGAGCTGATTTGAATTGCAGAAAATGAGAGCGGGAAGGCAAGCTCTGAAAGGCGTCCTGGAATGGCTGAGTTCAGATGCTTCTCGTCTCACAAGGACAGGAATGCCAGTGTCAGCTCTTATGTTCTTATGAAGCCTGCTTCATGCATGATCCCATTTTAGCTCCCAAAGGTGTTATTAGGCTGCAAGTTTTAGGGTTTATCCTGTGTCACTGTGCAAAAATCCTTGCTTTACAGCAACTACTATGCATATGCAAATACATTTTTAAATGAAGTGATTAATATTAACATGATGTGATTTCCTGATTAAAAAATTATTTTTTGTTTGTTGTCTTCAGGTTCCAGTGGAATACCTGTGAAACTGGTTACAAACCTCTTTAACTTAGATTTTCCTCAAGACTGGCAGCTCTACCAGTACCATGTGACATACGTTCCAGATTTAGCATCTAGAAGGCTGAGAATTGCTTTACTTTATAGTCATAGTGAACTTTCCAACAAAGCAAAAGCATTTGACGGTGCCATCCTCTTTCTGTCACAAAAGCTAGAAGAAAAGGTATAGTATGATCAGTTTTTTCACTGTATATGTGGATGTGTGTTTATTATATGTGTATATATACACACATACACACACATATATATATATACACATATGCAAGGAGATTCCAAAAGGTTTGTGGAAAAATAGAATTGAAAGGTAAAAATTTTAAAAACTACCTTTATTTCTTACCAAGAGTTTTACTAAGGTCAAGATACTTTTGTAAGCAATGGTATCAGCCATTTAGTCCATCCCTAAATAACTAAGCGTCCTGGGAATTTAACCATGTCAGTGCAGTGTATTTTTTACCTTATTAACTGAAGAAAAATAGGTGCCCTTTACAGATTTTTTAAGATTATAAAACAAAAAGTCAGAAGGAGCCAAATCAGCAGTAAAGTGGATGCCCAGTGATTTCCCATTGAAACTTTTGCAAACTTGCCCTTGTTTGTTGAGAAGAATGAGCAGAAGCATTGTTGTCGTACTCTCCAGGGAAGCTTTCCTGGTCATTTTTCTGCTCAGGCTTTGGCAAAATTTCTCAAAACACTTTCATAATAAGTGGATGTTACCATTCTCTGGCCCTCCAGAAAGTCAACAAGCAGAATGTCTTGAGCATCTCAAGAAACTATTGCCATGACCTTTGCTCTTGATGAGCTGGCTTTTGCTTTGACTGGACCACTTCCACCTCTCAGTAGCGATTGCTCTGATTGTGCTTTGTCTTCAGGATCGTACTGATAAAGCCAGGTTTCATTTCCTCTTACAATTTTTTAAAGAAATTCTTCAGGATCTTGATACCATTTATATAAAATTTTTATTGACAGCTCTGCTTTTATCTGCAACTGATCTGAATGCAATGAATTTGGCAACCATAGAATGGAAAGTTTGCTCAACTTTAATTTTTTAGTCAGAATTGTATAAGCTAAACAAATTGAGATGTCTGTGGTGTTGGCTATTGTTTCTGCTGTTAATCTTTGGTCTTCTCAGTTACAGCATGAACAAGATGAATTTTTTCTCCTTGCAAATTTGTGTAGGTGGTCTGCAGCAGGCTTCATTTTCAACATTGTCTCATCCCTTCTTAAGATGAGTTATCCATTTGTAAACTGCTGATTTCTTTGTGGCATTGTTCCCATAAACTTTTCATTACACATCAATGATTTTGCCATTTTTCTACCCAAATATCACCAAAAATTTGATATCTGTTCTTCCTTCAATCTTAGCAGAACTCATATTGGTCTGATAGGGGCTCTTTTCAAATTGATCTTATTTTTAGTGCCTCACACTGGATCCTGTTAGTATGAGTTTATTTTGGTGCAGAAATTTAGTACAAGTTAGTATGAGTTTATTTTGCTGCAAAATTTTTGAAATCCATACATAGTTTTTTTCATAACACATATTTCCATGAACTTTTTGAAGTCCCCTTATATATACTTATATATTTAAGAGATTAGTTGATTTTCATGACAATTGGAATGAGTGATTCACTCCTTTCCTCTTTCCTGTTCCCCTGCCTGAGAGCTTAAAAAAAGACTTCCTAATTAAGACTTCACTAGTAATTGATTTCTTAATTACGAAGCTGGTCTGGTATTTAAAAAATAAGAGCTGTAAGTGTCCTTGAAATAGGCATCTTAAAAAAAATTCCCAAAGTAGGCAAGACTAAGAAACACCGTTTGGCCTATGGCTTCAGAACTTTAAATTATTTCTACCTTTTTTTGCTCCTGCACCCTTGTGCCTGTATGTCCAAATAACTTTACATCAATTTTTGATTCTAGAATTGCCATTTATTTAACGACTTGCTCTATCATATGAAATATGAGTTATGTCAATTTTTAAAGTTTTTTTTAATGCAACCATTGGAAATAGCTATTGTGTATTTCATATTCCTTTATCCATTTTTTTACACATTTAACATCTCCAGTCCTAAAATATAGTATGTATGTTTTCATCATATGTTTTGTTCTAAAACAATGTTACAATTACTACAAGGAAAAAAGAACCAATTTCTCTATGAAAAATTAAAACAGAGCATTGGATTAACATTTTATGCTTCTATCCCTTAGAAATCTTACTCCCTTAGTTCAACTGTTTGCAGAGTTCAGTACCAATAGTTTAGATTTAAATTTTTAGGCTTTACGTAAATCTCTTTGAATTTTCTCAAGAAATGTGTTTCTAAGCACTCTTGGGCCTTTTGCCTTTTATGAGACCCTGAGATTTATAGGAGCTGCTTGAATGATTGTTGCATTGGATATGGAATGTTAAAATTATACCATATGGTTAAATTTAATGGCTTAGAAAATCTAGATCTGTAAATTAAGAAACATTTTTATTCACCATAATTTTTTATCGATCCTTCAGTTCTTTGTCCTATGACCAGATGTTGATAGCATGCTAATATGGCTTCTCATACTTAAATGATATATTTCAAGTCTGTTGTTATCATTAAAAATGATCTTGTTCTTGTATATTTTTTTTTTTTTTTTTTTTTGACAGTCTGTTTCAGTGGATGCAGTGGTATCTCCTATGAGCTCGTTGGTTACCATTCTCTCAGCTCTGATACTGTACAGCCCCCCCCCCCTAATTTTTTTTTTTATAGAACGGTACTGTTCATTCTGATTGATGGCTCCTCCAATGTGGTTACGGTGGCAGGGGTTGTAGATACATTTCTAGCACTAGTTTAGAAATTTAGATATGTTGAAATTATTAAATACTACTCTTGAAGTGTTCAGCTTACTTCCATTGTACCTAAACAGAATGGAGAACTTATACTCTACAAATGCTAAGAATATGTTACTACTATTCATTTCTCATTCAAAATGAGCATGTAGTATGTGTCAAACACCTTTCTGTTGCTGGGGACGGAGTCTAATAAGGAGGCAAGTGAGAAAATAGACCGTAAAAACATGGTGTGATAAATCAGGCCTGTTTATTTCATTTCCCGGGTATAGGGGATACTAGGTTTAAACAGAATAGTGTTGTCTTATTCCTTATAAACATATGACCTGTCACCCAGTTACAGTGCAAAAGAAAGTGTCCTACTGGAGATACTGCTGCTTTCACCTTTTTATTCTGATCTTGGTATTGACTGAGGCTTAATTCTGCATCCCCATCTATCCCCTACACATGTCCTAGGATGCTTATTTAAGTTGAAATATCTTGGCCACTAGTTGACTCATTGCACTCCTAGGAGTTCCAGAAGTCCTGTTCAGCTACCTCCTAACCTTTCACTGTCCAGGCCCCATTTGTACATCTGCAGCCAGACTGGTATTGCTATTCGTGTTCACATCTATTTGCCACTCTCATATACTTATAAAGAGCCTACTCTGAACCTGGCAGGGTGTTGCGACCATGGAGCAAACCAAGATAAATAAAACAGAGTACTTGTTCTCCAAAATTTCAATTTAGAATCAAAATTCTTTACAAATAAATACTATGTAAGGTAGAATGAAATAAGTGTCATAATAATTAGTA